TATCCTCTCTTGTTTAAACACATTTTAATACAGTCCATCACGTGAAGTTTGAATACTTCTGGGTTTCTGTGCACCTGTTTGGTGTGAGGATGTATTAACAGGTTTGGCGCCTTTGGGTAGTTCTAGTGCCGTTGACCGATATCTTGTATTAGGGGCTGGAAACCAACGTTCTGGCCGGCCAATAGAGGCGCTGACCAAAGTGAGTTGTAGGCTCTGGCGTTTGGTTGATTTTCTGTAATACTAGAGGTATTATTGCTGGGGCGGAAACGCTGCGACGCATTGAGGCCTTCCCATGATATGCTTAGAGCCGCCTGTTGCCCATGCTTGTGGGTCTGGCACTGGTGACAACGAATGTGGTAGTTGATTGTTGAACCTTGTGGCTTAATAGATCTACTGTAGCGGCTCCTATTTGCTTTGATTATCTGTGCAAATATCTCTGTATTGAGCATCCATTCTGTCGGGCGACGGTAGATGTGGCCGAGAGAGCGCCTGCTAGTATATTCCTGGCTCGGGAATGTGGCATGCTTTGACATGTAGATTTAGATCTTGGATTAATTCAACAGTTGAAAGGTTAAATTCAAAAGGTTTCGCGATCTCGTTGAGCCTTGTCTGTTCACATAAAACGCCACTGTCGAAGTTGTCGGTATGTATCATCAGGTGCGCATTCTGTAGAATGTTGCTCCAATGTCTTATGGCGCTGATTACAGCTTTCATCTCTAATGCTTATGTGGAGTTTGCTTTCTAGCTGAGTCCATAACCTGATGCCGTCGGTTGGAGATGAGCTCCCCAACCTTGGAGCCACGCGATCTACATATAGATGGGTTTTGAATTCCTGCTCTGCTAAACAAATCCCTTCGCGCAGACATTCGATTTCTTTGTCCACCATAATAGATGAGGTCTGAGATGTTTGGTAGACTGAATGGTTGTAGGTCGTCGAGATGTGTATTGACGAAGACCTGTAATGGACGTAACTGTAATCTGCCTATGACTGTCAAGTCTTGGGCTGATGTTAGAAGACCTAGTAAGCTCTGCCATTGTCGAAGTGGTAGCGGTGAAAGTAGAGCTGGTGGAATGATCTGTTGGATCTTGAGCCAACGGTCTTCTGGTAACGACTATATACGGTTGAGATTGGTGATAAATCGGATTCCTAGGAATTGCAGATCTTGCGATGGTACTAGGTCCGACTTGTAAGTAAGTTTACTAACCATCCCAGCTGTGTTAGTAGCTTTATGATGTAGTTTAACTGTAGTTTGAGATGCTGTGGATCTTGATCTACTTGTATCCCGTCGTCGAGGAAGAACGCACTGCGCGTAGCCCTTGGACGATGTAGATAGGTAACAATCGGTTTTACGTTATCCTCGTGAATAACCATGGGGCTGATGCTATTCGAATGGGAGTACTTTCCACTGGTAATGTAACCCGTCTAAGCGTAAACCGAAGGTATTTCTGGATTCGGGATGTATTGGGATGTGCAGATAAGCATCTTGTAGATCTATACTGCCCATGTAGTCCATGGGGCGAATCATCTGCCGTGAAGCTGCGTAGATGTATCATAGTGAACCTGGGTGGTCTGCTTAAGTAAGTCTTGTTGAAGAAGCTCATGTTGTAAATGAGTCTGTATTTCTCCTTGGAGTTCTTCTTGGGTACTAGGAAAACTGGGAGTAGGAAACCTGGTTCGATGTTTCCTTGCTCTATTACTTCTATGGCCTGCTTGGTTAGGAGTAATGTAACCGCCTCTCTTAACTTTAGTAGTTGTTGTGCCTGTACCTCGAACTTGTGAGGGTTGACTGTTAGTGGAGGCTTGGCCTGTAGTGGGATAACGAAATCTGGGTTGAAGAATGTTGGAGACATAGGTGTCTTGAAGTATTCCCCAGTTTTCCCAGTGTAGTTGAAGACGCCCAACCACTTGTAGACGGTTGTACTGGAGCAGTGGGGTGGAAAACTCCAGTCGTTCGAACCTGTCTTTCAGCTTATAGTTGCGGGGAACCTCTGGGTGTCCTGCCTCGGCCCTGACCCTCCTCTATAGTTGCCATATGGGCTTAATTTTAAAAGAATCTCTTCCCTGGAACTGGCAATCTTCCTGTCTCTAGCTCTTTGTAGGCCCGTGAATTTAGATCTCCCTGAGTATCTTTGTGAAGTCTGTCGAATGACACTGGCTAAGCGTGTCCATCGATTTAATCATCAGGACTTCTCTAGAATCCTTGGTGACTTCTTTGGAGACTCTGTCTATTCCTCCACAAATATGGATGGGGAAGACCACGGGCTGTATATAGTGGAGCTGTAAAGTTCTCACCCCAGTTGCAGGAAGCTAGGAGGCCTTTGACTGACGAGCTAAAGGTCAGTGCTGCTGAGACAGACGCCAGATGATCTGTTAAAACTGCTGGTCCCTTCTTTTGCATCAGTAGGGCCGAGTAAATCATTCTGTCATCTTCAGAGTGTCGTGTTCAAATCTGGAGATAAGTGTCTCATTTATTGTTCTAGATCTATTTAGACCAAAGAACATACTTCGTCATGGTTTCTATCTGAACCAATTTCCGATCATCAATCTTGTAGTACTTGTTCTTGGCATCGGAGATCAGCTTATAGTTCTCATCGATGTCTTTGCGCTTTGAAGAAGGGGTCCATATTATGCGTGGAGAACTTCTTGGCTTGAAATTTGGCAGATGTGGCGCCTGAACCTTTGTGGCTTTGTTAAATGCTGTATCTAGGTTCTGAGGTACCGCTAATCGGGTCGATTGGGGTAGTGTAATAGCATCTGCGCTTTCATCTTCTTTCATCAGATAAGTCTGCTCTTTATTGCCACTCTTGGAAGGTGATGAGAGATCTAGATTATTGACCATCCAATATCTTATCTCTGCATCTGAGAAAATAATTCCTCCATCATCTTCCATTCCATCATCATAGATAAGAGGTTGTTGCTCTTCTGATGTAGGGCTGTGTGGCTCTATCTCTATATCGCCTAACGCTTGTGGAGATCTAGTTGTAGGCTTTATGTGCAGACCTGTGAGGTGATCGACGTGGTGATCGGGCGAGGTGATCATCTTAGTGATCTATATCGATAGGTTGACCTTCTTGATGACTCCATGAGGGGATTGATGATAGCTTCGAAGCTCTTGTGTAGTCCCTTGATGATCTTTAGATGAAGACGATCTGGGTTCAGGTGTCCTTTCAACGCCCAGCGAAGCTTCGCTTTGGCGTCCGGGTCCTGGGGAACGATGATATGACTTTCGCGAAGGCTTTTGCGGTGGTCTGATGATCAGATTCCGTGATCTCGAGTATGACGCCGAAGAAGAAGGTGATGATTCTTCCTGCCTTCGCGAAGGCCTTCAGCGAAGGCTGTACATCTGGGTCCTTCGTCGAGGTGGTCTGTGACTTCCTTCGCTGAAGGCTGCATTGTCGTGGCTGCTACGCTGACAGATGGTGCCCCTGGGTGCTGTCACGTTGGAGCCTTCGGTTGCCTCGGACCCTGGGATGGCTGCTTCTCCAGTCTATAGTGGCCTTCCATCATAATCATGATCTGTTTCATAAGATCGTTTGGGATGATCTCTACGTAGTAGATGGTGCCCTCTCTGCTGTGTTAGCTGTGGGGCCCCCTCAGCCGATCTCCGCCCTGACATCAGTGTAGAGGCATCAGGCTGCATGGTGATCTCTGCTGACATCACTGTCGCTGTCACTGGTCGCTTCTTGTATGCATGTCGGGTATGATGATAGGCTGGTCATCGTAGAGGCCTAATTCTGCTGCTGGAACGATCTCGGCTGAGAAAGTTCTCGATGACTTCAGATTTCCCTTTGGAGGAAGACGCTGCCCTGGGGGTACATGGGTTCTGCGTTGAGAAGACGCTGAGGCCCTCTTGGACTTTGGTCTGTATGACTGGATGTCTGGAGAGGCTGGTCGCTTCTTAGAGGTGTGACGGACTGCATCCCACGCCCCCTCTTCCGATGGGGTCTCAAGCAGAACACCAGACGGGGAGGGATCGGCCGACAGCAGTTGACTGGATGGGCAATCCGGACGTGATCGGGTCATGTCTACACCTAGTTTGCGCGGACTCTATCTGCAACACGCCTCAAGACGCGAAAGATGGTATTTATCAAAGGCAGAATTGGTTAAATTTATGCAGTAACTGCAACGGTGAGTCAAACGCACAGCATGTAGTACAACTAGGGCATACCACATGCGGATCCGCGAGCGAAAAACGTAATCTACAAATAGTACAGTTTTTCATCAATGTAAAACTAGCTGAACAATCACTTAACTCAATGGAATAAACAGTAGAAATAATGATTAATTATTAATGCAAATAACTGAAGGATACTAGCTATACCTTTATAGTAAACTATAAAAGGTAACTAACTAAGAAGTGTTCCACTATGTTCGCAAGAGGAAGGGGACAAGCAAAAGAGCATGAGTCAGGATAAGGAAAAAATTATCTAGTAATACCAATCAGAATTTTCTTTGCTTGCTTTGATGCATTTCTGACATGATAGGTGGTTTGTAAAGTAAACTCCTAAGTATTTGTAAGACGTAGTTGTTTCTATCATTTCACCTTGATAATACCATTTCTCTTTTGCTGCAAGTTTTTTACCTCCATTCTTGAACACAATTATTTTAGTTTTATCTCCATTTACGGTTAGTTTCCATTCATGGCAGTATGTTTCTAATTCATTTATTTCTGCTTGTAATCCACGAATAGTGCTAGAGAGAAGTATGATATCATCAGCAAATAATAAAAGAAATAGCTGTACTATATCTGGATGTAGCTGAATACCATTTGAACAGTTTTCATGAATCTGTATTGCTAGTTCATTGACAAAGAAAGAAAATAAAAATGGGCTCAAGATACAACCTTGTCTTTCTCCTATTTGGCTCTAAAAAGTTTCAGATATTTCATTATTGTTCCTCACACACATGGTGCCAGTCAACGTGTTAACAATATAAAATAATATCAGGTAGCATCAATCAATATAGACATTATGACAATGACAACTTCTTTTCGCCTGACCTGATAGTTCCGCACTCCATCCCAGCATGCCGTCTGCTCTGGGCACTTCTTCAGGTCCTCCAGGCCAAACTGAAAGCATCCACCACTACTTATTCAAGATGCTCAAGATGTCAGTTACTGAACTGTCTGTTCCAGATTCGATTATTTACAGACCACCGCCATATAGCTGGAATACCGCTGAGAGTGGCATTAAACAACAAATGTACAAAAAAACAAAGAAGAAAAAGAAATCATTTTTCAATCCTTAGAGTCTTAAATATACCATAATCAACAAGTCCAACTATTGTAAGAAATAATACAACACCTTACGAGACAACCATGTTTCCAGGACTGACTGACTGAGTTTAGTTTTACTCCGCTTTTAGCAATATTCCAGCAATATCACGGCGGGGGACACCAGAAATGGGCTTAAAACATTGTGCCCATGTGGGGAATCGAACCCGGGTCTTCGGCGTGACGAGCCAACGCTTTAACCACTAGGCTACCCCACCGCCCTCCAGGAATGTAAATAAACACTATCAAAAGGGCTGTGTTTTCCTGAATACTGGGTTTCATATTTGGAAACAAATATGTTTCCTTTTAATCAATGCTTTATTTGAGACATAACTTGTGTGTAAACTATGTACATTAACATGATTAAGCAAGTTGAGTGAGTGAGTTTAAGTTTACGCCGCACTCAGCAATATTCCAGCTATATAATCGGATCTGGACCAGACAATCCAGTGATCAACACCATGAACATCGATCTACACAATTGGGAACCAATGACATGTGTCAACCAAGTCAGTGAGTCTGACCACCCGATCCCATTAGTCACCTTTTATGACAAGCATGGGTTACTGAAGATCAATTCTAATCCGGATCTTCACGGGTCAGACATAAACGCAATTGACATTCAAGTAAAAGCATGAAGGAGGCACACAAAACTGACAGTGTTTCATGGGTATGGGGTGGCAAAAAAATGACACTCCTAACATTAATCTGATGACTTCATTGCAGTCAGTGGCGACGGCCAAACTGTGGAGAGCAAACTCTTGGTGAGCCAGAAGTGTTTTCTTTTGCTTCTGTTTGAGTGTTTGACCCAATGAGATAGCATATAACAAGAAAAAATTGTGTCCAGGGACAAGTGGATAGACTTCATCCCCTATTACACTATCATCATAGCGAAAAACAAGAAATTCAGCAAAATGTACCTTAGTTCAAATGTCTCTAAACTTACCAGTAGTAGAAAAAAAAATTAAAATACAAAACAAAATGTAATCTTTTTGCTTATCTCCCTATTCTTTTCGAATGGAAGTGGAAACACTTTAATAAAACAAGCATGACCCTTAGAATTTTCCAAAATTCAGCAAAATGACCGTTCAAATGTCTCTAAAGTTACAAAAAATGATATATATCAATACAAAAACAAAATAAATTGACACTCATGATCTTTTGCTTATCCTTAGATAGATCACCTGGGAACATTCTTTTCGAGGAGCTCTACAAAGGCATCTTTTCAATGCTGTTATTTTTTAGTGAATCGATGAAAGAAAGGATATCTCTGTCATCCTAATTCCCTCCTCGGTGGTCCTTTTTTAATGTTACTTTTTATTTTAATCCATAGAAAAGAGAAAAATTTTTTGCCCTTTTAAAAGCATTTGGTGGATTTCCAAGGAGGAAAGAGCGGATGTAAAAATACACTCAGCCCACCGTGTTACCTCCCTTTTGCCCTTTTCCTGCCATGAAACAGTCATGTGACCAGCCTTACTTGTCACTCTCCTGCTTTTCTTCCCATGCACTTGGATCTGCTGTGAAAATCCGTTACCTCCCTTGTTTCCAGCGGGAGGTTCGAGGGGAGCTTATCGTCATGAGTCAGGATAAGCATAAAAATATCAATTTTACTTGAAAAACTACATATTTTTTCTTATCCTGACTCATGATTTTTTGCTTATAGAATCCGACGGATTGGTGGTGGGTCAAGGCACTTCGTGGATTCATCAGCTGTACTTCCTGTATCCCCACCATGGGAACTGCAAAACGGCATTTCAGAGATCCTGTTCTTCCAACTTCCGTTATAACTCGGGGGGACCACTTCTTGTCTTACTTCCATCTCAGACAAGTTGAATCATCTTGATTCATGTGGCTTCAGATAAACTAGTATCTTCTTATTACTAGATATCTATAACAACCCATAGATTATGATAAGATCTTTATCATAAATGAGTTGCGACCCCTTCATGTACAGGTAAGATCTTTACCCGTATAGGATCTTTAATCATTCATGCTAGCCTGTCCTAGACTGTGCGCATGGACTTTCAAACTGATATTTTTCCTTAGTAAAAGTTATCAAGTAGTCAACGTGATAAAGGGTGAGATTTTCCAACTCAGCGCCTTTGAGGAACCGTTAGTTGCTGTGCTACAACAAGAGGCCCAAATTGGTGAATGCCGGAGACGTCTTCAGTGGCTATGTCTCGGAGGTAGTGGTTGGCAAACACTGTGTCCGACTTCCAAAAGCAGCCCTCCATAATTGCAGATATAGAGCAATTTCCATGCAGAGCTAGTGTTGACGCCAGTGCTCTGACTTCATGTGGGTTGGAAGCTCTAGGAGGTTCTAGTCCTGCTGCTTTATAGGCTCTCAATATGACGGCTCTCATCCCGAACGATATCGTCATTCTTGAGACTTCTGCTGATATCTCTGTTGATAATGGGATGAACAGGCGCTTGAATTTTCGTCTCCTTGTCTTAGTCTTTTGAAAACATATCTTCAGGGCTCTGCCCGGACACAAGGATAAGTCCTCTATATCCTCTGGTCCAAGGATTGTAGATAGGTATATGTAACTGTCTATCTGGCTGGCCAGGTAGTTGGTTCTTGGCAAGGAAGTCCCATATAAGTCCTAGATAAACTGCAGCATGCTGCCCCCTGTTGAATCTGGTTTGACCAAAGTCCAGCGTATGTATCTCTGATATTCGAGCTGCCGTGGCTAGTGCAAGCAGGAACAGAGTCTTCTGTGTCAGCAGCTCGAAGGTAGTATGGTCTAGAGGTTTGTAGGCATCACTGGTGAGATGACGTAGAATTACATTCAGATCCCAGGCCGGAGCTCTGAACTTCTTTTGCTGGTCCTCCAGTTTAAAAGATCTCAGCAGAGCAAGTACTTCTGGGGTACTTTTGTCAACTTGATGCCTGTTTTCATGGTAATCACTGTACTGATGGCGGCAAGGTATGTAGATAATGTCGAACCTTTCAGATGTCTGGTCTGTCTAAGATGACACAGGTATTCCGCCACTTGAGGATGAGTAGCTTTCATTGCAGTGAAGCCTTTCTGCCTTGCATAAGTCTCAAACTTCAGCCACTTGTCATCATACAGGTTACGAGTAGATCTGCGTAACGCTAGCGTTACTGCCTTGGCTGCCCTGGCGGAGTATCATCTTTTCTTCAAACATGTTTTGATATGGTCCACACGTGTAGCTGGAACGCTGTCGGGTTCCCATGGACTTGCTTGTAATGCGGATGTATGAGTAGGTTCGGCCAATCTGGTAACTTGATTGTTGGACTTCCGAGATCTTCTATTAGGTCTAGGAACCATACTCTCGCTGGCCAGTATGGCGCGACCAAAGTCAGTTGTAGCACCTGTGTCTGTTTGATCTTCAACAGTACTTTCGGTAGTAATATCGGGGGTGGAAACGAGTAAGCGTTTAGTCCTTCCCAAGATATGCTCAGTGCATTTGTTGCCCAGGCTTGAGGATCTGGAACTGGTGAGACAAACGTCTGTAGTGGTTTGTTGAACCTCGTAGCAAACAGGTCTATGCAAGGGGATCCTATTCCCCTTATGATGAGCCAGAATGCTTCTGGATGGAGCATCCATTCCATAGGTGACGGGTGCAGTGGTCGGGAGAGAGCGTATGTGACAAGTCTTTATCCAGATGTTTGCTTTCTCCGTGATGTGGAACAACTTGAATGTGAGCTGTAGCAGGCTTGGAGACCTTGTGGATCCCTGCCGATTTATGGAGAATGCCACTGTAGAGTTGTCCGTGTGGACAATCAGCATTTTGTTGTTCAGCGAGCTCGACCATAGTTGTAAGGCGTTGATCATGGCTTTCATCTCCAGCAGATTGATGTGAAGATGCTGCTCTATTTTGGACCACCTTCCCGATGCAACTTGATTGTTGAGATACGCACCCCAGCCTTGTATCGAAGCGTCTGCGTAGAGATGTGTGTCGAAGGCCGGCTCTTGTAAACGTTCGACCTGCGTGTCCACCACAGTAGATACCTCTTGAGGTTGTCTGGCAGCAAGATTGGGTTGACGCTGTCCAGATGTTTTGTCAGGAACCGTTGCAGTGGTCTTAGTTGTAACCTTCCTGTGTGAGTCAAGTCCTGCGCCGAGGTTAGTAGACTGAGTAGAACTTGCCATGATCACAGTGTTAACGGAGAGATGACTGCTAGTGGAATCATGGCTTGTATCTTGACCCAACGATCTTCTGGGACGACAATACGATTCTGTGTTGTGATAAACCTTATCCCCAGAAATTGCAGATCTTGTTTTGGTTCCAACTCTGACTTCATTAGGTTCACTAGCCATCCTAGTTGAGTGAGCAACTTGATCGTGAAGTTCAGCTGTAGTCCTGAGTTGACTGGCATCTTGGTGAACCTGAATTCCGTCGTCCAAGTACATGTAGTAGGCATTGCGTAGACCTCGATGATGTACACATGTGACTATAGGCTTGGTTACTGTGTGAATATTCACGGAACCGAAGATATTCCAAACGGTAGGGCGTCCCATTGGAAGTGCTACCCTCTGAATAGGAATCGTAGATACTTTCTTGATTCTGGATGTATGGGGATGTGTAGGTACGCATCCTGCAGGTCTATGCTGGCCATGTAATCTGGTGGACGGACGAGTAGTTCTGAGTTGAGGTAGGTGGATCATTCTGAACCTGTCTGGTTTCAGTAGATAGAATTTGCGCATGTTGTAAATCAGTCTGAACTTCTCCTTGGAATTCTTCTTGGGTACTAGAAAAAATTGGGGAGTAGAAGCCTGGAGTGAGATGATGCTGATCTATTATCTCTACCGCCTTCTTCATAAGTATTGAGTTGATGGCTTCTTGTAGTTTGTCTGCCTGCTCCTCTGCATAGTCGAAGACCATCGGGCTGAGGGTTAGCTGGGGTGTGGCCCTGAGATTTACTCTGTATCCTTCTTGCAGTACTTGGGGAGACGTAGTCGTCCTCTAGTATTCCCCAATTTTTCCAGTACCTTTGTAGACGTCCACCCAATGTCAATGGTTTTATAGGAACGGCTGCGGGTGGAAGAATCCAGTCGTTCCGAACCCTGATATCAACGTCTAGTTCCTCTGGATCCTCTGGGAGTGCAGCCTCTCCCTGAGTTTCCTCTGTAATTTCCGGATGAGCGACGAAAAGATCCTTTGCCGCCTCTGAAGCTGGAGTACTTCTTCTCCTTTGCCTTCTGTATGTCAGAATATTTGGACTTGCTGTTATACTTTTGCGAAGTATGACGGATGACGTTGGCCAGAGTATCTATGGATTTTATCATCATCACTTCTCTAGAGTCGTGCGTAGCTTCCTTAGCTGCCTTGTCTATTTGTCCTCCAAAGATAGTAGGCGCCTCCCATGGAGCTCTCAGTAGCGGTTGGGTGATACTGTCACTCCATGAACAGGATGCAAGTAGCCCTTGTCTGCATAGTAAAGTGAGACCTGTAGATATAGATGCCAGATGGTCCGATAAAAAGTATTGGTCCTTCTTCTGAGTTATGAGCGCCGAATATATCATTCTGCCCTCTTCCGAACTTGAGTTCTGGAATTTATTGATCAATGCTTCATTGATAGCTCTGGACCTGGCCAACCTGAAGAAGGATCTCCTTGTAGCAGTATCAAGTTGCGATAACTTTTATTCTTCTACTTTATACATCTTGTTCCGGGATTCGTTGACTATCTTTATGTTATCATCCCATTCAGGCGCCTTTTGTAAATGGATCCATATGATGTAGAGGGAATCTCTTCACATAAAATTATCGCAGATGCCGACTCTGGTACTTGGATGCTTTCGCGAAATCTGTGCGAAGGTTGGCGGGTACCCTGGATATAGGTTCAATCGGAGGGATAGTGACGGAGTCAAAGTCGTCGTTACGCATCATATAAGTGTAGACTTCATCTTTATCCTTAGAAGGAGACTCCAAGTTCAACCTGTTGGCAATCCAAGCTGTAACCTCTGCGTGTGGGAAGACAAAGTCTGCTTGCTCATCCAGTGTCTCCTGATTATTAGAGCTAGGCCTCCGCGTATCATCCATCTGCGAACCTGTATCCCTTGTCAAACCTTCATCATCCTTTCGCAAACCCTTGTCTGCAGATTCCTCCCTACGCGAACGTCTGTCTTGAGAGTCCTCTCTGTACGAACCTCTATCTGTAGAGTCATCTCTTCGTGAACCTCTGTCTGTAGATTCATCTCTTTCTGCGTAACCAGATGATGTGAACCTCTGTGATGTGAGCCTTCTTCTTGCGAACCTCTGTCTCGTGATGAGTGAATTCGCGAATGTCTGTGAGATCTCGATCTAGAGCGGCTAGGTGTAGGAGATCGATCCTTCGATGTTCTCGAACGTTGAGGGTTCGCAGATGTAGAATGATGAGTAGCATCTCATGTCTTCTATCGTCCTCCAAGATGACAGAGTCGTTCAAATGTGGAGACCTTCGCAAAGGTGTACGTTCGAGATCGTAATCTTGAGACGTAGTTCTCTGAGGAGTAGGTTCATGCAGGTCAGCTGGTTCGCGCAGGTCCGTAGGTTTGCGCACGGTGTCGGTAGATGAGAGGCTTCACCGAGCCTTCGCTTCTTCCTCGAACCTGCGTTCCATCATGGTCATCATCTGGTTGGTGAATTGTCTCATAAATTCACCCGGGTCAAAGTTCTGTGTTGGTTGAAGCTGCTGCGGTGTAGAAGAAGCGTTCGCGAATGCTGCTGAGTTGTGTGCCTCGACCTCGTTGCGTTGAGAAGTAGGTGGTAGTTCATCAAACGGCAGTCCTGCTGTGACTGTTGCAGGAGACGATCTAGTAGTTGTAGACGTCGATTAAGTCGCTGATCTCGTAGGCACTTCGGGTAGAAGTAGTGGGTGTGTGTGTGTGTGTGTGTGTGTGTGTGTGTGTGTGTGTCATCAAAAACGTCTACTTCCTGTGGAGGTAATATCTCTTCGTTAAAGGATTTCTGATGCGTTGACTTACTAGGCCGTGTAGATTTACCCTCCGATCTGGTAACAGATGCTTTCTTCTGCGATGTAGAAGAGGATGACGTCTTTTCTTAGCTTTAGTCGGAGCTAATCGATCTCTTCTTGACCCTCGCATCAGCAGACTGCGCTCGCAACGCACAACTTAGCACCAGTATTATGAATATCAGCAGTAGCAAGCAACATACGGTTTGCAGGCTGATAAGCCGTGACTTGAGATGACTTCCTCACCCGATCCATGGGATGTCTATAGATATAAGACAAATATTGATTAAATTGTAGATTTGATAAAGAATAGGATCTAAATAAAAAGGATATAATGCCGTATATGGGACTCCAATGCTTGCCCAACCATCCACTTGGGCTAAAAGGGAGAGTGTGACAAGTAAGGCTGGTCACATGACTGTTTGTGCGGGAAAAGGGCAAAAGGGAGGTAACTCGTGGGTGAGTGTATTTTTATGTCCACTTCGGGAACTTCAAGGGATTCAAGTGTTCCAGTACCATTCGAAAAGAAAAGGGAGATAAGCCAAAGATCATGAGTCAGGATAAGAAAAAATTATGAGATGCACACCATTCGAGTCCCAAGAAAGCCCATGTATAAGTTCATTGAATTCCACAGAGCATTTTTTGTGGAGAAGTGGATAGAGTACATTCCCTGTTTCCTACGGACGGACGGACACGGAGGATAACCCTATATGGCGGGGACATAAAAATAACAGACAAGCCTGTAAGTATGCTTGTGGATATTAAAGACACCTCAAATTTCTGAATACAATCACACCTACACCCATATGGAACTTCCAATAAAGGTATATTTGTATTCATTCATATCATTATTTGGATTATTTTGTACTATTTTTTTAATATGTGACCCTGACCTTCATGGCAACTCCTTTCTGAATGTGTGACCTTGACCTTCATGGCAACTCCTTTCTGAATGTGTGACCCTGACCTTCATGGCAAATCCTTTTTTAAATATGTTACCTTGACCTTCATAGCAATTCCTTTTTAAATATGTGACCCTGACCTTCATGGCAACTCCTTTCTGAATGTGTGACCTTGACCTTCATGGCAACTCCTTTCTGAATGTGTGACCCTGACCTTCATGGCAACTCCTTTCTGAAGGCATTACCAGTGTATGAAATAAGCCAAAACCCCAGCCAGACATCAGGTCTGGTAACTTGAAAATATTACCAGTCCAAAATGGATTTAACCAGACAAGACACCAAGATATGACTCAGATGTATATAACATCTAAATTTTTACCAGAACATCGGGCTGGCGAGCTGTAAATTTAGATCCATCCGTCTGAAATCTAGCCCGTCTAGACGGGGCTTATTTCATACACTGGCATACCCTTACCTTCATGTCAACACCTTTCTCCATGCGGGTTTCAGGCTCAGACTTCATCAACCAGTGAGTGAAAACTTCAGGTGGTGCATTTTCTGACTTGGACTTCTTTGGCTTCTCATTGTCTGGGATCGAAAATGAAACAACACTTCACACCACAAGTAAAGGTTCTTGAATTGTTTTGAGGTTTTTGTTAATAGAAACATAATCTCCAGTATAAGACATACTGTACATTGCCATGTATATAGTGAAAGGACGTATAAGGCAACCCCCTTGCATAAACCTTCAGAATCAATGCAAAATTAAACATAAACCCCATCTCTAAGCCACCCTGGACGAAACACATAGTCAGAACTTTCATGATCCCTATATTGGCAATAAAAACATGTTTGTCTTCCATTGTTCTTCTGTATGATGCTTGGTTGGGCAGAAATCCAGCACATGGCTTCATTTTATGTGTGGACAAGACTTCAGCCCATATCCCCCTTAAATTTCATTCTTGTCAAATCATATCACCTGAATATATATATATTCCTTATCTGATAAGGACAATTTTTAATATGTTTCTTTAACTGTATTTTAACATACTGAAAGACGTATCTAACCTCTATCAATGCCACTTAAATAAATCTTTCCTCCTCGTTAAAATTTAGGGGGGACACGGACAGAAGTCTTACTGTTTATCACCAGTTGAAACAACATGTAAAATTCTCCTACTCCGGGCAGTGTGACAGCAATCCCACCCCAAAGCCCTCTAATTTTTGGAACGGAAAAGTTGCCTTATATGCCATGTACCATAGTGTAATTGATTACTGACCTATACTGTGTGTAATATGGTTACTGACCTACACTGTACATATATATATATATATTATGTGTGTGTGTGTAAAAGTGAAACATGTTGGAGAAGTGTGTGTGTACCAGATTAGACTTACACATACAAGAATCGTTCACTACAGATTACAATTAAATTCAATCTTGAAGCAGACGGTTTCATTTCTGTTTCAGTGTCCATTCATCCCTGGCAATTAGCAGATATCACACATTTCATATGATCTGAGGTAGTGAAGGTTATAAATCCTCTGAACAGATTTATTTTATTTCATTTGTTTTCTTTAGATCGAAACAGTCAATTATGTTCCAGAAATATCATAAATATCTGCAAATGACGTACTACAGTTTCTCAAGTCTGTCTAACAAACCAGTGGTGAATATTATGAGCAATTACATTTCATCCAGGTACATTGACAAGAAATCACACATTAATTGGCAGTGGCATGCCTTAATTAACGCCTATGAGAGTGAGGGAGAATGGTTTCATGCTGATTTCAGCAATTTTATTTCAGCAAATGTCAAGAGGGTTATGTGATATTTGTTAAGTAAATAGTGCATCCCAAAAATGATGACGTAGGCAAGTGACATCATCAAGGCGTGTGATGATGTAATGACATCATGGCGGATTAAAAACGTATGGCGGACTTATTGTTGTCTGTTGGAATCCAGGATCATCCACCCCAACATCGGAAATACATGACAAACTGGCGACGAGGATGGGATCCAAAACCGTGAGAATGTTGTGGGGCAGTTTTGAACATTCAGCGTAATGAGAGACATTAACTATGACATCAGTCACAAGGGGCTCAGCGTCTATAAGGATAGATTGCCATGTGATACGTTATTGGAAATAAGGCACTACAAACCTGTGTAAAGTGGAAGAGTAACATGGAAGTGAACTTTAAAGTGATTTCAAACCTGGAAAAGGAAATTTTGTTAGCGAACAAATTGTACGAAACAAACATTGAATCTCTGATTGGTGAATCAGAGTCACAGAGTAAATAGTACATCTCCACCTGTGGGGAATCTAACCCACACCTGCCCCAAATTTAAGCTGAAGGGGTTGTTGTCTGCACAGGTACTACAGAAATGTACCCCAGGTACCTTTCTGTATACAGAAATGTACCTTAGCCAAAGTAAATGTACAGAAACGTACCCGGTACCCTAAACGGCAGACGAGTCCACTTTTCTCAAGCCGAAACCGAAAACCGGTTTGTGGTGTTGCTCCAAATCACCTGATTTCAAGCACTTTCACTGCATCGCCGAGTATTCACTTTGTATTCTAACGCATTCGAATATGGAGCTCATACGACAGTATGAGAGTTCCGATCAAGAAGCTGATGACAATTTCCCATGTTCATTTACGACAGCTGTTGGTGGGAACGATTTGGAAACGGACCTTTCAGGACACCCAAAACTTAAAATGTTTCGCTCCTGAGAGAACAGCGCTGGATCATGTACAAAGTATGTCACCCCCATTGTAGACAGCTTTCAATTTTCTGTAAAACGGACTACAGGGGACGTCATGCTCAAGAAAAATCGATTGTCTGATATTTTATAACTGACAGTGGAAGGAAGGTATACAGTTCTTCCTGACGAACACGCACTGCCATGTTCAATATTTCCACGGTTTAACAGGCAGGAATAATTTTTAGTACGCGTTCGAGGAAACCGGTTTAGCGCTCGGGAGTACATGCACTTTATCAGATTAATTAGCGCTGCTGGGGTACATTTCTTACCTGTGCCTAACCCTAAGGATCGCACTTAAAGGGTGGCACTTTTTCAGATTAATTACTGCTGGGGTTCCCTAACCCTAACCCTAAGGATCGTAAAGGGTGGTATACACTTACCCTAACCCTAAGGATCGTAAAGGGTGGCATACCCTACCCTAACCCTAAGGATCGTAAAGGAGTTCTGCTTTACCGGGCGCACTTTTTTCAGATTAATTAGCGTTGCTGGGGTTCCTAACCTAATCCCTAACCCTAAGGATCGTAAAAACGTCGCATCATAACATAACCCTAAGGAGAAGTTGTAATCCATAAAGCATTCGCCTAAAGAAGTTGTAATCCATAAAGTTGGATTGCATTTGTCATGGATTGCGTCGGACCGTTGTTGCGACTCTTGCCTATGCTTTGGCTCAATAAACTTTTACAATTGTACAAGCAATAATTTTGATGAGGCATATACCGCCTTCCTAATAAAAACTATAGAGTGTTTTACCTGATTTTAGTCTACGTTTTGGAGGCATTTGGGGTGCCGGGCGACTCGCTCTTTCCCAAGCTCAAATTCACTACTATTTTGTAAACATTAAAATGACACAACTTCCCGCGCTATTTCCATACGTCATTTCCGACCGGATATTCTTTTGCGCATGTCTGTGACTTGCATTCCAAAATGGCGGTGTTGCGTCCTTTGCGACAGACCGGTCAAAATTCTTGTTAAATATATGAAAACAGTCCGAGTAGAAGTTATGATTGTTGAAGAAACTGATTGGAACGTGACACATCGACATCACTCTAGCCGTGTTCAGCATTTGGTAAATGCCTATTTCACCTTTCGTTTGATAAATGGCCGTTGTTATGGACTCACTCGAGTAGGTATTATAAAACCTTGATAACATAGTACGCAAAATCTACTTCCCTTCGTACCCTAATATGTGAATATATGAATTATTGGTGTATTTAGAACTAATTGACAAATCTCCTTCGATGGAATACTCAGTCGTTTGTGACATGACATTTTAGACTTTATACATACCTTCACTATATCGTATGTCAAGCACCTTACTAGGCGAGTTTATTCCACATTCCACCTATATTTCTAGCTTCGGCCACTTGAATTTGATGGATATTTCCGAATCAAACTATTGCAAACTGCTTGAAAACAAGTTTCCAACAAATCAAAGTTTACAAACAAATGGAGCTATCAATATGCCTATGGAAATAGCACAACCGTAACTAATCGTACCTGATGTGCTTTTTCGACACACTGTATATATTTACTGTTATCCATTTTACAATTGTGATTTTTCTTATTATCTATGAGATGTGAGTTCACTGGCAGTTTGTATGTCAACAGGCAATGCCCCGCTACCACCCAGTGACACAGTGCTCAGAATCAAACTGCAAAACATATGTTGGTTTGATGAAATTTTGAGAAATATATAAGTTTGAAACAGTGATCACTCAGATGTAGCTCATCAATACAATACAAAAAATCCTAACAAAGTAACATTTTAGTGCTGTCAAAAAGTAAGTGACAGATCACAACCCTTCACAAGCCATTTGATTTTATCAACACCAAGGGTTGGTGTTGATAAAATCAAATGGCTTGTGCAAGGTTTAGTGGACGTAAATAGCATGCCAGTGAGGCAAGAAAACATATGACATCATTGTGAGGAGTCATAGTCACACTTGGAACTTTGGAAGTGATCTATACAGACTTTCACTCCATAGACTTTCATCTTTAACATTATATTAAATATTAAAATACCATTAACCATATCAACATGTATATACCATATTATAGCTGTTTAAATATTTGCTTGTATTATATGAGCAGGTGTGTCAAGTGAAAACTGATTTGTGATTTTAGTTTCATAGCGTTATTTGTTTGCTATTTTAGGTTGTTGTTTACTTAACCAGGTTAACTAAAATGCTGTTGAACTATTTTAGTTTCATGTGAAGCAGATTGGATCTGTAAATGACAATATTGTCAGATGCATTCATTGTGAAATATCCGTTCATCCAAGAAACCACAGTTATTTTCATGTGACTGCACTAAACAAGTTTTTAAGCTCCCAGGATCCAACCTCCAATGCAGATTTTGGGTAAGGATGGGTCACCAGCAACCTATGCTTATACCAAGTTGCTATTTGGTTGCATGGTCAACTCATCAACTATGACTCGGTTGTAAGTGTTCATCATCTAACCCTAATGACATTGATTATTGCTCATAATATCAATCACTGGCCAGAACTTGATTATACAGTGTATGTAGACCATCGTCATGTAGCTGGAATATTGCTTGCTGGGGAATGAAACAAACAAACAGAATCCAACCTCCTTCAAAGTAACAAGGTCCGAGGTTGGTGTTCTGTGACATACTTCTCAAGTTCCGAGAATTTGATAGATTTCATATGAAACATAGCCACTGTCACTTAAGACTTAAAGTATATTTATTATCAGAAGAAAAATAATAATTAGGCCACACTTTTTCTTTACTTTCTGTATGGTTCCACCAACAGCAAATTTTGTTGAAATGGAATGAAATCTGAATTTGTCACTTTCCTTTATCTAACTTGATAGCATTTAGCACCAAAAAATAGTCTCAATAATAGTCCACTATCTATACCTTGACATCAATGCATAAAAAACAGACTAACATTAAGAAACTGTATTTTGTTTGCAAGGAGCTCGCGATTCGTTAAACATTACTCAGTCTCTCCAGTCCCAGTGGCAACTACTGGTCAAATGAGGAACTATTTTGTACAATGTTCAGTGTTCCTGACAGCTTTTGAAACAACCATCCCTAAGGAGTGGTGATAAAGAAAAAGTCCCCCAAACATTTTGCCAGTCCACAATACATTGCTTCAGGTTATGCATTCAGTATTTTGTTTGTGTTTTGGCCATGGAAATCCATTCAATCAAACATTTTTGTCTTTTCTTATTTTTGTGTTGACAATTTTAGACTTTTTGGCACACATACGATGTTTGTCACAGTCACTTCCTGACTATTCTGATTCATAATTTTTTCGTTTTGTTTCGCATGTGCTGTAGTGGTGTTCCGATTAATTGAAATAATCGAAGATTGGTCGCAGTGACCAAATGACCAAGCAATCGATCACATTTTCTCATAATCGAACACAAACGATTTTGGAACTACTGTTTTAGTCTTTGAAACGATGGAACATATTCAAAGTTGTCAGGGACTGCAAACTTGTTTAATTCTTAGAAAACTCACTTCACTAACTGAAATGTCATGACTGAATATTTCTTGAAGACTCCAGGAAGTTTATGGTTATGATATATTAGTCATCACTTTAAAGTAGCAAGTTGCATCATCTCATACATATCTGCAATAACAAACTGGATAGGAAAATCTGAAAAATGACGCTAACCAATTTTTTTCGATGATTGTTCGTTAGTAATAAAGCAATCATCAATTGTGAGATTTCAACCAATTCCCAAAACTAATGTGCTGCTTGGTTTGCACTGTGTAAAAAGCAATATTTTGCATCACGTTTAAGCCCCATCTCAATAACACCTACAAGGGCAGCATTTTTATTTTTTGTGTTTCTCATCTCCAGACTGACCCTTCTAATTTTACTTGCCCCAAATAGAAAATATTTTATTTCATTCCAACTCACTCGAACCTGAAATGTACCGCCACGTCTTATAAAATGTTTATCTTATAATCAGTCGCTGCCACAAGTCCAAAGAACGCGATAAATTGTAATAAGAATTACAATAAATGATAGTCAAGAACATTATTCAGTTATTTTTGCCTTTATTCAGTTGTTGGTTTTTTTCCCAACTGACCCATGTTCAGAATTTGGTGGCTATGTGAAACATAAAAAAATGATGCCCCAACCAAAAACTCCATGGTAAGTGACATTAGAAATAGTCGAGACTCTGTCAGCCATGGTGAGCCATACGACTTAATGTCAGTGTGACATTATAATGCTGTAATGTCATGACATAATGAATGACATCTTCTTCCACACCTGAACATGTCTGGTAAACAGTACTGCAAACAACCATTTGACATTTCTTCTGATAAATATTAATGAAATAAAATATTAGAAGAATGCTATATTCATGTTGAAGTGACAGGTCAATGAGATGTTGGGGATTTGAATGTACCAATGAGACCGAGATGCTAACTCCCGTTCATTTTATAATTCATGTTGACATATCTTGAGTGAGTGAGTTATATTTAACGTCACATCGGCAATATTTCAGCCGATATATCTAGAAAAATGTACATCTGATAGTTCTTGATAATGTGTTCACAATGAAATATAACTCTGTTCTTGTTTTTAACCTTCCAGGATAACAAGTTGATCACTCACATAAATACTATCCTGGGTAATCTGTTGAGATATTGTCATTAATCATTGGTATTGATCAGTATGTTTCAACCGGTCACTGAGTCAGTCATGTTGGCATTGATAATTGGTAGCTTTTTCTTCTGTAGAAATGCCAGGTAATAGTTGTTTTTACCTTGACTTTACATGTTAACACTGAAATTTTGTAAATGAAATACCAGATTGGTAACAATGCTTACTGGTGAAAGTCCTCCCCTAAATATTACTTGTTTGTTTCTTGATGAATGTGTGTATGTGTTCCATAATTATTTGGTTGTTTCATGATGAATGTGTTGGAGTGTGATTATTTGCTTGTTTCTTGATGAATGTGTTGGAGTGTGATTATTTGCTTGTTTCTTGATGAATGTGTTGGAGTGTGACAATTTGCTTGTTTCTTGAAAGTGTGTTTGACTGCAAGTATTTGCTTGTTTCTTGATGAATGTGTTGGAGTGTGATTATTTGCTTGTTTCTTGATGAATGTGTTGGAGTGTGATTATTTGCTTGTTTCTTGATGAATGTGTTGGAGTGTGATTGTTTGCTTGTTTCTTGATGAATGTGTTGGAGTGTGACTATTTGCTTGTTTCTTGATGAATGTGTTGGAGTGTGACTATTTGCTTGTTTCTTGAAAGTGTGTTTGACTGCAAGTATTTGCTTGTTTCTTGATGAATGTGTTGGAGTGTGATTGTTTGCTTGTTTCATGATGAATGTGTTGGAGTGTGACTATTTGCTTGTTTCTTGATGAATGTGTTGGAGTGTGACTATTTGCTTGTTTCTTGATGAATGTGTTGGAGTGTGACTATTTGCTTGTTTCTTGATGAGTGTGTTGGAGTGTGACAATTTGCTTGTTTCTTGATGAATGTGTTGGAGTGTGATTATTTGCTTGTTTCTTGATGAATGTGTTGGAGTGTGATTATTTGCTTGTTTCTTGATGAATGTGTTGGAGTGTGATTATTTGCTTGTTTCATGATGAATGTGTTGGAGTGTGATTATTTGCTTGTTTCTTGATGAATGTGTTGGAGTGTGATTATTTGCTTGTTTCATGATGAATGTGTTGGAGTGTGACAATTTGCTTGTTTCATGATGAATGTGTTGGAGTCTGATTATTTGCTTGTTTCTTGATGAATGTGTTGGAGCGTGACAATTTGCTTGTTTCTTGAAAGTGTGTTTGACTGCAAGAATTTGCTTGTTTCTTGATGAATGTGTTGGAGTGTGATTATTTGCTTGTTTCTTGATGAATGTGTTGGAGTGTGATTATTTGCTTGTTTCTTGATGAATGTGTTGGATTGTGATTATTTGCTTGTTTCATGATGAATGTGTTGGAGTGTGATTATTTGCTTGTTTCTTGATGAATGTGTTGGAGTATGACTATTTGCTTGTTTCTTGATGAATGTGTTGGAGTGTGACAATTTGCTTGTTTCTTGAAAGTGTGTTTGACTGCAAGTATTTGC